CCAGCATGCAGCATCTTCTTTTTTCACTTCCTGCTGCAGTATAAGTTTAAGATCAATATTCTACAAGAGTTGATCTGAACTCACTAAACTCAAGTCTGCGGCAGCTCCTCCCACGCACGCACGCACGCACGCACGCACGCACGCACGCACGCACGCACGCACGCACGCACGCAGAGGGGTTTTTTCTGCAGGTTACAACTTCACTGCTAAATAAGGCAAACGAGCCCACAGAGGGAGATGTGCGTGTCATCACTGAACAGGAACTAATAGCGAACGCAGCAGCTGAGCGGTTACATGTAAAGCACTGTTGTAAAGGAGTGATTTCAACATAGGAATGTGAGCTCTAGACATCAGGAAGTAGAGAGACACAGGAGGCCCTGAAGCTTTAAAGAGCTTGCATTAGCAGTTGCCACACCCATCATCTGAGCAGATGCTTCGCTCTCTCTAAAGGGGAACCGGAGTGAGATGGGTTTTTTGAAATCTATACATAAAAGGTTTGCGCACTGGAAGTCATTCACCACAGCGGCCGATGGGTGCTTTGGAGGCTCTCTTGTTAGAGGCAGTGAAATATTAATGAACATCAGCTCGTTGAAGGAGTAAAGCTAAAAGTTAACATATTTCCACTGTAGTTTGCACCAATAGACAAATGTAGGCCGCCCTGTAGTAAAAAAACCTGAGATATTGTGAACCAGATTATGCAACACAATGAATACACAGCTAAGTGCTCTGACAGCCTCGTCACAGGCTCAAGGCTCATTGGGTGATGGAGCACAGAGTCTTAAAAGATTAGTGTCCCGCCAAGTCAAGCTGCCTGATATATAGGCTGTTTTACAGAATCTACAGCAGCCAGCTACACAGCCACAGCCCTGCGTTTAAAACTGATCCAGTCTTACCTGTGCACAGCATCTTGAAGTCCTCATAGTCAGTCCCTTGTCCTCCAGGCACGATGATGTTGTTCTCATATTTAAACACAGCCCTGGAAGGAGCACAGTGGGTTAATTCCTGTTGGATCACATGAGTTTGCATAATGCGCACACGCACACACACACACCATTGCAGAAAAATGCCTGAGACGCCCATGCAAGGTGGCAGCTGTGTATCAGCCATCTGCAAGTGTCACCACTATAACATTTTCCCCATTGAATACAGGACAAAGGAAATTACTTCTGCCCCGCCGGGCCTGATAACAGTGCGCCGTGTGACCGCTGAACAGTCAGAATACAGATCAGCCACATCCGAGGGACAGGACAGCGAACGCTGCGTGTATTTTGGCCAGTTTTTCTAAAGAAACAGTCCGCAATGTGCCGTTCTGGCGCGTTTTCGCAATGAGCAGGCGTAACTGCATAGGAACATAGGGTAATTTAAAGTTCTGGTGCAGAAATGCACAAGTAAACGCCACCAAACATACAGCTGATTACATTTTATTGGCCTTTATTAGTTAGTGTGCTATTCGGCATGTATCCGCTTATTCAAACGACGCTTATTTAAAGACAATTTCAACTTTTTCAAAAGCAAGTCCGTCTCTTCATGTTGCGCTCTTCCTCATTGAAAAGACGGAACAGTGGGCGGTAACAGACAGAGAGAAATACATTTTTAACTAACACCACATCAAATAAATACTCTATTTGGTGTTTTAATGGTAGCCGAAGTGGATAAGTGCTGGAATACCACCAGACAGATGCAGGGTTATGCACGTGTGTCATTCATTTTCGGTAATTTTAGCGTTAATATAAAACAGTCACAATCTTCAATGGAGTATGGGTTAGTAACCGTGCCCGCACACTCACCAATTGATGTCAGTGTTATCGTCCCTCACTTGGTTGTAAGCCTCTCTGCAAGCCTCTTTATCGATCTGGGTTGCCATTTTTCGGATTGAGAAGTGTTAGGCAGGCAAAATGAGCGTTGAATGGGTCCGAACCAGGGAGGGCCAGCTACACGGTACTAAAGCGGCTAACTTGCACAGTGGATGCTACACATCAGACCTAGAACCGATAGCGTTTCACGGCGGGCTTCAGTCGGAAATCACGACCACTGCACTGGAACAATCAAGCCGGTCAGACTCAGCGGGAAAAGACGGCTGTTCTTCTAGCAGCTCGGTTCATTTCCTGTATGTTACCACTTTATGGGCGTGGGTGATGTTAGTCAATCAGGTTGCCAGCAGACAGACAGAGAAGCTCCCCCAGACGCTGCGTTCACCTCCTCCTGGTCAATGAGCGTTTAGCAAAAGAAGCGCTGTCAAGGCAACGGCGACAGGCAGCGACACTTTCCGGCAGGGATTTTCTAAACAAAATCAAAAGCAGCAAGTTCTCAAAAGTGACTTGAAACCAAATTTAGCCATTTTACATTTTGCATTACCATGAAATGTTATTATTATAAATAATAATATTATTATAGGTTTCTATTAGTAATCACTACAGGTAAAACGTCCTTTTTTGTGGACAAGAGATTTTCTTTGAATTTCTTTGAATTAACAGAAACGTTCTGTTTCTATAATTCTGTATATTTCAGGATCACGTGGGCAGTAATCCTGGTTCTGAGCCTGGTTGTGCTGAAGATTTCTTCCTGTTAGTAAGGGAATAAATAAATGTGAATTCTCTTTCTCTCATTCTAATATTACACATTATATATCTTTTAGCGATTTGATTCCAGATTGACATTTCTTATTTAATTGCTCTTACAGTGAATGATTATTTTTATTGGCTCTGTTTATCAGTACTGACAGCCAAAGTTCTGTCAGAAACATGAAAAAAGTAAAAGTGTATCAAAAATGATTCAGCAGAATAAAAACAACTTTCACAAAGGAAAAGGTGTAAAAATGGAAGCAATACATATGCCATATGTTATACAATAACATGAGAATGAGCGCAATTGTTTTGCTTTTTTTTGGCATTTGCTCATTTTTATTTTAATTAGATACTTTTATTCTTAAGTTAAAACGATCAACTTCCGGTCTTTCTTTTACCTACTAGCGCAACTTTACACAGCAGAGTGCAGATGAATTAATTTGAGGAACAGGTACTAGTCTGACACAAAGCCATTGGTCATTACACTCACATAAACTACACCGTGAACCCACGAGCTGGGCTTAAAACATCCACTGATCAAATAGGCTAGCTAGAGGTCAAAGGTCATCTCCCTCCTCTTTGACACTGGCATAAGCCCAACTGAGCTGTACCTCCTGGTTTGTTTGTGCCTGCATCATCCTGCCACCTGCTGGTCGACCTGCTGTCGGTCACAAGCTTTCATCAATCTTTCCTGCAAACTTAGACTCAGTGGTCCGCAATAAGCACACAAATAACTATGTTAGACTGCAGGAGGGGGGCTGGTTATGTCTTCTGTCTCTCAGCCTCATCTCCATCTGTCTGCCTCACAGTCTACAGCTGCTGTTACATGCAGGCCGCAGAGAGAGAGAGAGAAGATGTTCTCTCCTTATTAAACATCCTAAATATGAATATGACAGCTTGATAAATGTTGTGTCCTTACTTTAATCACAGAAAGGCCGTGCTTGTGGGGCCTTCTGACAGAACTGCTTCCTTCCATTTTTTCCACTGCAAAAGAAACTGTATTTAAAGTCCTCTGTTCTCAGAGCAGCTTTTCGACTAAGGAGCTGTCCAAACAAAATGGTGCTTTGTTCATAACTTTTGTCTTTTTTTAGCCTTAACTTCAAAACATCACAGTTCGGAGTTTTCTTAGATTCGCATTTCACTACAGAAGCTACTTTTTGCACCAGAAACACTGAGTTAAAAAAAAAAGAAGTGGCTGCTGTGGACAAGGAAGCTAGAGTTAGCATCTCTAAACATTATTGCACAAGGAACACTGCTGCCGTGATGGGAGTTACTCCATCACAGTAATCGCCACACCGAAGCCAGGAGCCAAGTTTCTGAGCCAAGCATTCCCCACAGCATCGCACTTCATCCACCTGTTCGTGTTCCTCCCATAGGGCACCCTGCTCCTACCTGGTCTCCAGTTAGCTCATGTGCAGTCAACTCTATGACGTAAAAGAGGCAAACTTGCTCCATGTTTTAACTGTGTACCAAACATATTCAAAATAAATATATCACTCATAAAAATAAATGAATAAAAATAAATGATCTTATCATGTCTTTTATCAATAGCTTTTGGGGCTTTTCATAGAAGTCCACTTCCTTTCTCTGTGTAACTCATTTTCCCTGAACGGGACAAACTTTATTTGACAAATTTAGGAGGCAAGGTAAACCCTGGACTGGTGACCTGTCCAGGCCCACATTGTTTAACTAATATTGTTTTCTTTCAGATTATTAATCGAGGTTAACTGTATCATAAAACCGATAGGCCTCCGTTTATCTCTTTAATATATTCATTCATTCATTTAGCAGCTGTTTATCTACAGTACCGTGCAAAAGTCTTGAACCACCTCCTTTTGTTTCAAAGGAGTCAGACTTGTAATGTTTTTGAAGGTGATCTTTAGCAACGTTGTTCCCTTTCTTTCTATTTCCCGATATGCTCGTATAACGTAGAGAAAAGACGGGTGGCGCAAGACTTGTGCACAGTACCGTTTGGCGTTGTTATTGGTCACTCAATGGCCTTCATAATGTATTGATGTAAATAACAACATCCGGCCTAAAGTCGTTGACTTCAAAATAAAACAAAGCCTCGAGAAGTTATTTTTGAACACTGCGTTTAGCTTTTAATCTTGTCTGGTAAATCGAACTACTACTACTACTACTATAATAATAATAATAATAATAATAATGATAATAATTATTATTATTATTATTGTTATTGTTGTTGTTGTATTATTGTTATTATTGTTATAGTTTCCAAAGATTTCAATATCTATTCAGCTTCTCAGAGACCGTTGGTTTTCAATACACAAAATAAGCAAATATTTTCCTACCAACAAAAATTAGCAAATGTTTATAAACATATATTTTCTATTCATCTGTAAGCTCATAGCTTGTAAACATAACCCACCAATAAATAAACATGCAAGAGTTTATTCTGAAAACTCAAACCGGAAGTTCAGTTGATGTTTAACCTGCGGCTAAGCTAACTCCACCTGGCTGCTTGCTCCAGCTGTTTTTGTGGTCCAATACAGCGTGTGTCACCGGTAATAAGTCTCTGTAAGAAGACGGTGGACGAAGAGCGAAGTTTGAAGAATTTTTATTGCTTCCTGGACAAAATGCAGCAGTTTGTTCTTCGGCTGTCTTGCGGGACCCTTAGATGCTGCTGCTGACGGAATAACAGAAGAGCCGCCTTCTGACCCGCCTCAGGTCCGCCTGGAAGCGCTGCTGCCAGTGGCTCTGCGGCAGTGACACGGTTTCTCGTCTGGGCTTTTCAGCTGTATGTACCTCATCTCGCTAAAGGCCCGAGAGCCGCGGCTCTAGCTTGTCTCCTCTTCCTGTGTTTAGGAAGGGCCGTGAACCCTCAGCTGAGTGTGGTTCATAATATCTGTGATCTAAAGCATCAGAGCTCATATTTCAGATGAGACTCAGACTCCAGCATGCTCGTTCACACCAAACACTTGTTGATCTCATGAACTGTTACAAGTCCTGTACCAACATGAACGATTTTTATTTTATTACTGGGCAATAAATCAAACATCAGAGTCAAAGCTGAAGGGAATATCCTCAGATCTCTTGTTTTGTTTGACTCCAATAACTCCAAATAGAACATTTCTTCCAGTTTTTCTTGAAAATAACTGAATCAGTTAAACAATGTGATGCATTATTTGAGTAACTTATTAATTAGTTAATAGTTGTGAGAGAATTACAGTAAAACCTGTGTGCGTGTGCTTTAGATGATGCCTTCCTGGGGGGATGTAATGGACAAATCGAGCCGAGTATGTCGACCCCAGCGGATTAGCGAATCGTCTAAGGTCAGTGTTATTATTGTTAAAAATTATCGCATGGTCTGTAAAGTAGCTTCAGGTTAATCGACTAATAGTTGTAGACAGTTGTCTATCCAAAGTGCAGAGGATCTGGGGACTGTTTTCATCCCTCTGGTAAGTTGAGAAGTCAGCTCATTTCTAGCATGAGAGACAAAATCAGACAATGAAAATCTCTGCAGATCTCTCGCTACTACTTGTACAGTAACACTGCGAGTGCCAAGAACTGAAGTTTGGCAGCAGTTGGTTTTATCTGGGGTGTGAATCAGGAGGAATGTGCAAAAGTAAGCAGGCAAAAAGAAGAAGAAAGGCAGCCTGGTTCTTTTCAACAAGGTGTCTGAGGAGGCTCCTGGGAGCGGGCACACAGCCGTTTGGAGTAAGGAGTTGTGGTGATGTTGTGCTGTGTTTGCAGGTTTTCCGCTGCGTGGATCATGCTGCTGAACTGCTGCAGGGCCTCAACGAGCAGCGGCAGCACGGCCAGTTCTGCGATGTGGTCCTCGTGGCTGAAGACGAGCGCGTCCCCGCTCACCGAGCCCTGCTGGCGGTCTCCAGCCCGTATTTCAATGCTATGTTTACTTTGGGCATGAAGGAGGAGCACCAGCAGGAGGTATGCAGGCAACACTGTGAAATTAGCTTATTTATGTACGTAAAATAATATATTAAAATCAATGTGGATCGTTTGTGGGAGCCTTTGTTTCTATCTTAGTTGTACTGAAGTTGTAAATGGAATAGAGCACACGCATGTGTTCTTCCTATCTGCAGGTGGAGCTGGTCGGGATGTCCTTCGTGGGTCTGAAGGCGGTGGTGGACTTCCTGTACAGCGGCGAGCTGCCACTGGACGGAGGAAACATTGACTATGTGCTGGAAGCTGCTCACCTCCTGCAGGTAAGAAACCAGCGAGCTGTTAGGTTTAACGATGCAGGCCAAGCGGCAGCTTCTGGGGCTGATGAGGGAAAGGGCCAGACTGCACTTCCTCTGATGGCCACTTGGGGCTGACCCTAAAAGTGAGTCAATCTCAGTAGACTCCCATATTAAAACATACTTTACAGCCTGATACAAAAATGGTTTTCATCTCCACGAGTAGTTTTCTCTTCATGAAAAATAGACTTTTTTTTATAGCTCATCAGTTTAGATACTGTTAAGGCTTAAAGTTAGAGGGGTGACCTGTTTGACTGAACTTCTCCTTTTGGAGCATTTAAACTAAATTATCAGGAAAATAATATTTCTAAGAATTTCTGTGTTTGTAGTGCGAGAGGTTTAATCACCTGTTAAAATCACCTGTTTAACTGTTAAAAATCAATCGGTGGTGATAATTAATGTTACCTATAAAAACTCATGCATTGTTCAGGTATGGCGAGCGGTGGATTTCTGCTGCCAGTTCCTGGAGACAGAGGTGAGCGAGGACAACTACCTGTACCTGCAGCAGCTGGCGCTGCTCTACAGCCTGGAGCGACTCAGCGCCTTCGTCGACCGCTTCATCCTCAAACATTTCTCCATGCTCTCTTTCACCCCGGACTTCCTGCGCGACATTCCTTTCCACAAACTCAACTCCTACCTCTCCAGTGGCCAGGTGAGACGTTCTCACCACGGCTCAGCAGACGAGCTGAAATCAAAAGCACGGTTAGCATTCTGAGAGCCCCTTTCTTCATCGCCAGGTTCAGCACGACAGCGAGCAGGCGCTTCTCCAGGCCTCGCTGCAGTGGCTCAGCCAGACGCCCGAGCGGACCTCCCACGCCAGGCAGCTCCTCTCCCACATTCGGTTCCCTCTGATCCCGGTGGCAGACCTCATAAGCAGGGTGCTTCCAGATGTGCGAGCTCTGCTGCCCGAGGAGGCCGGCTGTGAGGCCCTGGTGGAGGAGGCGCTGGCATACCACGCCAGGACCAGCGCTCAACCACTCCTGCAAACTGGACGCACCACAGTGAGGGGGGGAGTGGAGAGACTGCTGCTCATTGGAGGAGAGGTACAGAAGCTGATTTCATGATTTCACTGCTTTAGATCTGATGTCTTCACACCTGACACTTACTGTGATATGATTTCAGTGTTAGTATTTTAATCTTGAGGCTCGTGTCTCCACTGCTGTCTGAAAAGTGAAACCTGGAAGCTTCACAGCTAGACTTCTCTTGTTTTTTGAGGTTTCCGAGCGTGGGGAGGAGCTTAGCGCTAGCGTTTCCTGTCTGGACGCTGAAACAGGGAGCTGGAAGGTGGAGACTGAGCTGCCGGCCCAGCGGAGTCACCACTGCCTGGCGGTCCTGGGAGGTTTCATCTTCACCGCCGGCGGGAGCTCGTCCAGGGACAACGGTGGAGACGCTGCCTGTAACCTTCTGTACAGATATGACCCCCGCCACAACCAGTGGACCAGGGTAGAGTGTAGAAAAGTCCCCTCCCTCCAGCCGCTTTGATAGTCTGAGGTCGTTTAGCAGCCCAGACTCACGAACAGCGTGTTTTTGCAGGGTGCCCCGATGAACCAGCGGCGAGTGGACTTCTACCTGGGGACCGTGGGAGAGTACCTGATCGCTGTGGGAGGGAGGAATGATACCGGAGCTTTGTCGTCAGTGGAGGTCTACTGCCCTGCTGAGGACTGCTGGACCTACGTGGCAGGACTGCCCAGGTTACTGCTGACTCCGCCTCTTTGATTGAGGAATATCTCTGATAGCTGAGCTGTGAGGACTGCGTTTACACTCCACACATGTAAAAAACTGTTTGTGTTTTGCAGGCTTACTTACGGTCACGCTGGTACAGTCCACCGTGGCGTCGTCTACATCTCGGGCGGTCACAACTATCAGATCGGCCCATACCGCCGGGACGTCCTGAGCTACAATCCGTTGCGGGACGGCGATGTGTGGGTGGAACGCCAACCCATGTCTCTGGCCCGGGGCTGGCACTGCATGGCCTCCCTCGACAACCTAATCTATGCCATCGGAGGCAGCGACGACCACGAGGACACCTCGGAACGCTTCGACATCCTGCAGGTGGAGTCCTACGACCCACGCGGCGACCAGTGGACCAAGATTGCGCCGCTGCTGCTGCCCAACAGCGAGGCGGGGCTCGCTGTGTGGGCAGGTAGGATCTATGTTCTCGGGGGCTTCAGCTGGGAGAGCATGGCGTTCTCCAGAGCCACACAGGTATACGACCTAGACAAGGGGGCGTGGTCCAGAGGGCCCGACCTGCCCAAATGCATAGCAGGGGCTTCGGCATGCGTGTGCACCGTGAAGCCTCCGCCGCTGTCAGCCTCGCCACAGAAGCTCAGAAACCAGATGGAGGAGCCATTATTCTGTACTACGACTGACACGGTGACCAGCAGATCCGCGACCCTCCAGTCTGTTTACAGTGCAGGCAGGCCACAGAGTCAAGCTCAGCCACGATCCCAGCAGATCAGCTACTCTCAGTGGCAGCCAACACCTCCTCATGGCGCAGCTGACGCTTTTATTCACATGTAATAGATCTCTGAGTATGGATGCCGCTTTGCAACCCTCCTCCTTTTCTTGCTGCATCTGACTTAATCAGTGTTGTATCTGTCGCTGCCACTGACTGTCTCATAACTGCATAGCTGTTTGGTGCTCTGTAGTTTCACTGAAATGTGGACTGTAAATAATGTGAGTGCAGCGTGTGGAACAAGACGTCAGTCGTCTGCTAATGAGCCTGATTTGTTGACATTTAAGCTGTCGACTACTAAAACAGATAAAACTGTGCACGGTTAAGGTTCTCTAGAAGTTGCGTATTTGGGAAGAATCACAGATTTGATATTCCTCTAAATACAGGAAACAGAACAAGCTGCATTTAAAAGAGGTTTTTTTTGTTCTTGCTTTTAGGATTAAACGTGAATGTTTTTAAAAGATGTCATCTCTGCCTTTGAAGCAAAAGCTGCATTCATTACTACTGCATTTTTCAGAAGTATTCGTCTGTGCATTTGTACATTTTTTCTTTAATTAAAAAAAATATTAAAAGAGAAAAGCGAGCTTATCATTGGCTCTTATCATTCTAAACATTTCATCGTTATTAGTAAACAGGTCACTGATGGATGCTCCAGCGCTGGTCGTTGTGGCGTCTTCTCTCTCAGGTGAAGGGGTAGTACGGGTGAGACTTGATTCTGAGAGACAAAAGAGCAATCATTGGTTTGATGCTGGAGAATGCAGCTACAGCAGGAAGGTGGTTGACTTACTCTTCAATTTCACAGGCCTTCCACCCTCGGTTCAGTCCCTTCAGAGCACTCATGTCTTCTTCAGTCAGACTGAAGTCAAAGATCTGCAGGGAAACCGACAACGAGGCTCTAAATATACTTACACTACACTCCTGAACTAAAACTATACAATTGCTGAGGCGCTGTCAACTGAAATTGAACTGGGGCCTTTTGTGTAATAACAATTTGTACCACACAATGGTGCAGTGAGTCAACCAGAGGGCATGCCCCCTAGTGGTCGTTAAAAAGAGTGCAGGTTTAATACCCCCACCGAGAAAATCGTGGTAAGCATCTTTGTCTCACCAGAGCGACAATGGTTTCTTACCTTTGTGTTTTCAAGGATGTGGTGAGGCTTTTCACTCTTGGGGATGACTGCAACACCCTGCTGCACGTGGTACCTCAGCAGGACCTGAGACAAGTTCACTGTTACTAACTAATGAGTGCACACACACACACACACACACACTTTATCAACCTGACCTGTGCAGGACTGCGTTTGTGCTTCTTGGCGATATCAGCAATGACTGGGTCCTCCAGCAGCTTATATGGATCTGTGTCTTCTCTTAACCTGTAACACGGAAGGATTTATGAAGACGGGTTAAGAGATGAACAAGGCCTCTGTTGGATGTAGCTATTAGCTACTGTTAGCTGCATATATCTAAAAGATGCAGACCACAAAGAGACATAAAGTTAGCTCTACCAAATGGAAAGAGACAAACTAATATGGGGACACAAAAGAACCACTGAGATAAAATATATCTGCAACCTAAGAGGACCACACCATGTGCATGTGTTTATGTTTGTGCCATGAAAACCATCCTAAATATCAGGATATATTTACATCTATTTTTCCCTACCCCAATAGTCGAATTCCATAAAATAGTTTGCACTTCATCAAAATGAGATCCAGAGTCTGCACAGCAAGTTTGTTATGACCTTTACTTCCTATGAGTCAGTTTACTGGCCGAACTTTTAAAAATATTCAAAAAACATCTCTTTTTTATCTTCTCAGCCTTGGAGATATGTGATATATCTGTATATATAATAAAGGTTTCAAACATTTAAAGAACAAAAAGTTCTTCGTGTCTGTTTTTCTGATTTGGTTGTCGGTGCGGATCATGAGGCAAGACCTCGTACAGTTCTGAGGGTCTCCCAGGTGAACCGAAGGGGCTGTAGGCTGTCAAGGCAATGTTCTTGGATTTGCAGAACTCCATCATATCTGTCTGGATCAGGTAAGGATGTAGCTCCACCTGTGGACGACATGTAAACGTACAACAGTCGAGTCGAGACTCTAAAACGTTTCAGTAGCTCACAATTTCTCACTTTACAGAAAACACATGTGACATTATCACAAGAAAAAGAACACGACACCGGAAGAATCTGCACTATCATAATAATTCAGCTCCGGACTGATTCACCAATGCAGGAAAACAAAGTCCAACTTTGAGCAACTAAATTGAAAATAAAAAATGTTTACTAGTCCTTACTAAACACGGCTTTCCAAAACTCCGCACTGTCGTAAGAAGTCTGACAACTTAGTTCAGGACTGATAGTGACTGACTTAAACAGGACTGATTTCTGGAGAAACTGCAGTGGGATTGTTGCTGCTGCTGGACCTAGCCTGTTATTTGGTGGTTGGATTGGTCAGCTACAAAAGCTAATGGTGTTAGCAGCTGATACTGTTAAAAGGCTTTAAAGAGTGAAAGAAACGTTTTTAGGCATCTTAGTGCTGATCAAAATGAATAACCCACTGATGACTTTTTTTTTCTTTTTTCAAAAATTCTACAAAACCTGAAGCACTTTTGTCTTCCATTAATAAAGTGGACAACCCTCCACTTTATTAATGGAAGTCCCTCAAGTCCCTCCTGTCACTGTCAGGAGGGACAGACTGTCTGAGAGGACAAGGCAGAAATTTCAATGCACCATATCTCCTTAACTTTAAATTGCTTCCATCTGTGTCATTAAAAGCAGTTAAAGTTACCACGATGACTACATTCTATATACAGCTAGCTGAAAAAATAAGAGATGTTAAATCATTTATTACCCCAAATTCTAGGAAAGTGTGTTACAGCAGTGATGCAAAATACAAAAAATGAAGAGCTCTGATTTAAAATAAATGCAGGGATTGTGATGTGAGGAGGCAAACAGCACTAATGAATTTCCTCAGCAGCAGTGTGCTACCACTGCAATGATCTGAACTTGTTCCTCACACACAAAGGACCAAGGCTATGTTGGTCTGGATAGGCTGAAAATGAAAGGAAATCCAAAACCACCAATCAGAGTGATCGATTTCAAATCAGCTATCAGTTAAGCAGCTGTTACACTTAGCAATTAATAACTGGCTCAAACAGACTGACAATAAATGGAAATGGTA